TCCTCCTCCTCCTTCTTCAACATTTTGGTGTGAAACTGTGTCTTAAATCCTTGTTATAGTGACAATTCAGTGGAAAATTACCTAAGAGCACTGCACATATAGTGGGCACTGAATCTGAATGAATGAATGAATAGAATGCTTTTATAGGGAGGAGTAGGGAAGAGAATGAGTCACGAACCCCGGGTGGGAGGGGACCAAAAAGAAGAAAACAAGATGTGCATCCTGGGTCAGTGGCTGGTGTGTGGTATTTTGAAATCAGGAATCTCCTTAGACATCTGCAGACACCCCTAATGGCAGGGCAGTAAGAGTGTCCAAACTTAATTCCCCACCCATGTGGATCAACATGAGAGAGAGAGAGAGACAGAGAGAGAGAGAGAGAGAGAGAGAGAGAGAGAGAGAGAGAGAGAGAGAGAGAGAGAGAGAGGGAGAGAGAGAGAGAGAGAGAGAGAGAGAGAAATGGAGAATTTCTAGGTAATTTAGCCTGACTTTAAGTGGTAGAAATGTTGGGGGGAAAAAGAACTTTTGGAAACACCCCTCCTGGACCAATTCTTTTTCCTGCAGCTCCCAGATTTCCTGTCTCAGTCTGGAAACACAGTGCTATCTAGACATTAGGATGCAATGGGGAAAAAAAAACTTGCACTTTGGATTCAGATTGGTCCATGTTCAAATCCTGGCACTGTGACTCTGGGAAAATTATTGCATCTCTCTGAACTCCAGTTTCTTCATCTGTCAAATGGAGTTAATAATAATATTTACCTCATAGGGTTCACACTCACTGCCTCATTGAATTTTCACAATATTTTATGCGGTAGGCATTATTCTCCTCTCTACTATACCGAAGGCTCAGAGGAGTTACTCACTTGCCTACGGTCACACAGCTTGAAGCAGATTTGTTCCATGGGGAATACAGCCTGAGCTCTGAGCCACCACGCTGTCCCTCCTTTATGAAAGGCAGTCAACTGGTCCAGTCTCATGCTTTTTCTCCCAAACCAGAGTCTGCTGCCCCGGACCCTCCACCCTCCTCATCATGATGACATGTGGCTCTTGAATTTAGAGGATGCTGTTTAGCACTTCAAATCTCAGGAGCTTTTGACTGTTGGTCTCAAACACCTTTTTTTTCCAACTGGGCTTCATTTTGAGGACCACAGTAGATAGGTCTAAGTAGGGGAATGTAAATTCTAGAGACACCAAGAACCCACCACTGGCTTTAAATGCTGATGTGTGTGTGGAGTGGATGGGGATGAAAACAAGGACACTGCCCCCAGGTGATGTGGGGCTCTATAGCACCTGTCCAGAGCTGGCGTACCTGCAGAGCGTGATGCGCCATGCCCCGTCCACAGGACGAAATGCTCAGAGCTGTCTTTGGGGTGGAGGGAGGGGGAGAAACTGTGGAGAAGGAATTGCTTCTATGCCCCTTACCCAAAATACATCTGTTATCATTTTAGTAGGCATTTTACTGCCCAATCTAGAACCTAAACACCTTTATTGGGAAAAGACAATGCAAACCCCAACTGGCTACCACTATGAACCCATGAAAGGTCATGGGCAGTGCAGTGGGGTGACCTGTGATAGATTTCAGTGCCTCTCAAACTAGCGTGCCTAAGAATCACTTGGAGAGCTGGCTCAAATACAGATTTCTGGGTCCCATCTGCAGAAATATGGATTCAGGAGTCTTGGGTGGAGCTGGACGATTTGCTTTTCCATCAGGCTCCCAGGTGATGCTGCCGCTGCTGCCCTTCTGGGGACCGCGCTTGGAGTGAGTGCGGCATGAAGCTTGTGCTTGCTTGTTGACATGCACAAGCTTCATGTAGTGTTATGGGAATGTGACCTGGAGGGCAGCTGGAAAGTACTCACTGAAATGTAATATACATATCCTATGACGCCAGCAATCCATCCTATGGAAATATTTGCCCATGTACACAAATTTATATGAGGTTAGGATGTTTATTTGGGGGGGTTATTTTTTGGTGAAAATAGTGAAAAGTTAGAAATAACTCAGGTGCCCATGAATAGGGGATTGTTAAAAAAAAATTGTTTTAAGATGGTTTGTTATATAGCAAAAGCTAAATGATAAGAGTATCAAATATGGCAAAAAAGAAAAAAAGTGAAGCTTATTAGACTTCCTACACTTAATTAGTAGTTTAGTATTATTTTAAATTGTAATTGTGTAAAGTTCACCATGATATTTTGAATGCTTTTAGCCACTAAATGTCTTTATCCAGTTCCACTCTTACCTGTCAAATATTTAGCTTCCAAATAAAATATCATTCAAAAAAAGAGTTATGCTGCTAACAAAAAGTCTAAAGATTTGTGCCCTCAACCGGCTCATTTTCAAAAGACTAACTAGAGGGAAGGGAATTGCCAAGAAACAGGGGTGGAGAGAAGGAATGATCAGAGACTCAAGAAATGGCCTTCTAGACCTGCTTCAGCTGCTATCTGAAGTCACCTGCTTAGGTGCATCCTGAGAAGGTCAGAGGAATCCTCCCACCAAAGCCAGCATCCGTGGCCCCGAGACAAAGGAAATTAGTCCTGACTCCGGGTGGAAGCCGCTCACAGAAGTTTCTCCCTAAAATACTGCAAAGGGCAGCCTCCCACCTCCTCCCTGCCTTCCACCTTGATTCTTCATTTCATGCACACAATAGTTGCATAATAAATACCCACCAGATGTCTCTATTAATAAATTATAACTCCCAAAAGGTGTGGGATGATGGAGGTGCTGTTGGGCCACGGAGGCTCTGAAGCTTTCAACAGCAGCAGTGTGCAAAAAATTAATCCTTTTTCTCTCCCTTCTTCCTCCTCTCTTCCCCCAGGATGCCAACTTGGGCAGGTGTCAGCAGGAAGTCTCTTTACAGCTCAGTAAATGAGATTTTAATGAATCCTGAAGGAAAGGATGGGGAAGGAAGGGCAGCAAATGTTTAAACATGCCCAGCTGGTGTAAAGGCCCTTTTGGGTGAAATTAAGCCCATCCAGAGTAAAGGAGGTGCAGAGGGGCGCTGTAGTTCCCCCAGGCCCTCAGAATGCCCAGGGGACTTCAGGTTCCTGCTGACCCTCTCAGCCAGACTAAATTCTGTTCAGTTTTTCTAAGATTCCATCCTCTCTCACACATTTGGACATTTTAAAATAAATTTATATGGCCAATAGGTACATGAAAGAATGCTCAATATCACTAATCATCAGGGAAATGCTAATCAAAACCACACTGAGATATCATCTCACCCCAGTTAGACAGGCTGTTATGAAAGAGACAGAGAATAACAAATGCTGACAAGGATGCAGAGAAGGGGGAGTTCTTCCACACTGTTGGTGGAATAGTAAATTAGTACAGTCTTTATGGAAAATAGCATAGAGGTTTCTCAAACTGCAGATAGAACTACTATACAATCCCGCAATCCCACTGCTGTGTATATACCCAGAGGAATTGGAAATCACCATGTGGAAGGGATACCTGCACCCCCATGTTTATTGCAGCTCTATTTACAGCCCCAAGATATTGAACTAACCTAAATGCCCATTGACAGACAACTGGATAAAGATAATGTGGTGTATATATATACACAATGGAATACTATTTAGCCACAAAAAAGAATGAAATTCTGCCATTTGCAGCAACATGGATGAACTTGGAGAAAATTATGTTACGTGAGATAAGCCAGGCACAGAGAGAGAAATACCACATGTTCTCACTCATAAGTGGGAGGGAGGGATAGAGGGAGGGAGGGAAGGAGGATAGGCATACATTCTACCTTTTAACTTTCAGTATTCAGGAAGCCTCTAAGAGCCCTGAGACCCTGTGGAGTCATGAGCTTCTCTGCTGTGATGTTCATATTTATAATCTGACAATGCCTCAGCATCTCTCCCTGTCATGCCTGAATAATATACTAACGATTTTATAAAAAGTAGATCTTACCTGGCCAGGGTCCTACCAGCCAACAACAGAGACTGTAGAGCATTCAAATGGTCAGCTTGTTCAAAGTTCATACTTGACAGATGAAGAAACTGAGGCACAGGGCAGGGAGAAGAATTTCCCTGGCTACCTGCTTAAGTGTTATCTGTGTTAAGTAAACCTTTAGAGTGTTCTGGGCTTGATGATATGATCATTTGGATCCAAAAAAGCTGACCAAATTGTGCAAGTGCTCACTGTAAAAACACAGGGGAAGGCGAGGGTGCGGCTCACACCTCCATCTGACTTTGCCTGGTGCTTTACAGTTTATAAAGCTTTCCTGCACATGTCACTTGATCCTACCACCACCTGGTGAGGGAGGAAGGGCAAGGTTATCATACTTATTTTACAAATGAGGTAGCCAGGGCTCAAGGAGGTGAAGAGAAGTGCCAAAGAGCACACTGACAGTGAGTTCCAAAGTCCCAACATGAAGAGGATAAAAATGTTTTAAATTGTGTGCACACAACTTTGTAGCCTGGCTGTTCATTTATTGAACCCAGCATCCAATCTGTCATGCATATTTAGAAAATGAGTCCAATTAAAAACACAAAAGTTGCAAGCAAAAATACAGCCGTGAGTCAAAGCATTTTGCTGGGAAATCAGAATGACCTCGGATGAGGTGACAGGGACTGAGTGTTCAGCACATAACATCCCACAAGCTCTGTTCTGTTTAACGTCATCTTTTATTAAAGGTAGCAGTTATTGGAATTAACATTTTCCTTATGTAAGAACAGTGTTCCCCAGCAAAATGCTGCTGAAACAGAGGCACAAGTCAATACAGTTGCTGAAATCCCACAAATTACCAACAAGAATTAATTGAGGGCTCTCCTAAGGAATATTTTCCATCCTTTTAACAAGTGTGAAATTTTTTTGGAAACATCATAAATTTTTTCTTGAGATGGGTGTGTGTTTTTTACTAACTTCGCTTTTTTTTTTTTTAAGGTATGTAAAATATGTTCGTTCCTTTTTTAACCATCTCTCTTTAAGGGCAAGCCACCTATATCAGAAAAAGAGATAAAATACATTTTGTAGAAAAATGAAAGTGTCATAAAATACTCACTGTTCTTTATCACTGAAGGCAAAGAAAGAAGAGAAAGAAAAGAAATAAATAAAGTTAGGTAAGAAATTTTATAACAATACAAAAACTGGATACAAAAACCACATAATTTGAGTTATGATGACCTACTATTCATTTTTAGTCATCCTTATCTTATTTCAGCACATTGAAAACAAGGCTGCTTCAGTGTAGGGTTATAAAATCCACATCTTTGATTAAATCAACCAATCAGTTTGGCTTATGAATTAACCAAGCTAATCATTTGTGTATTTGAATGTTAATTCTTTTGGCACTAAAGAGAAATCATTTAATGAGAGCATGATTACTATCATTCTTTGTTTCTATTATTTCAAACACTGGGGGATAAGGACCACATTAGTTAGAGCAGCAAGCCCTGAACAGTAGAACTTGTAGTACCCCAGTTTGGGGAAGCAAGTTCTTCCATTCCAGAAAGGGGACTGGCATCTCTGTTCACTCGGTGTACAATCATAGGCAAGTCATATCCTCTCTTTGTGCCTCAGTTTCCACCTCCCATTTCTGGCAGTCTCTGGCTTGTAGACTTGAAAGCTAGATAGAAATATCAACTGTCAGAGGCTGGCATTTCTCCCCAAGTACTCTCGGGATGGAGAACTGAACCACTGCCCCAACCAAGAAAGGAGCAGGTGCATTCATTTCTTCAAATCCCCCTGTTAATTTCAAACACAATCTTTAGATTCAAGGAGGCTGAGAAAGGAAGATGTCTGAAAATCACAAAAGCAGTAAGTGTATCTGCCTAGCCAGCCAGCAGTTAATTAAGACTAGATTTCTTAATTTACTGGAGAAAGACATTAGAAGTGTCTGCCTTAGCACATCACCACTGCAGCAGACTAGACAGCATGGGTGATGACTATAATTCACCCATTAGCATTTATTGGAAAATAATTTTGATATCTGAAGAAAACACAGTGACAATCAAGCCAGCTGGATGCATTCAGAATCCCAAGATGTTTCACGGGAGCCCAAGAAATTTTAGATAAAGCCCAGGGCTTTAATGGAACTGCATCCAGACTGTTTGAATAATTCTAATTTAATTTTAAGGCAAATTGTTTGGCTTCATATTGACTAAACTCTAATGGATGGGATTTTAATTAACTGACATTTCTTAAATAAAATAAATATTTTACCCCATCCATCCTTCAGGCAACTGTTTATCAAACAGAGACATACTTTTAGGCTGATGAAATATTCTCTGCAAAATAAGTTTGGCTGCAGGAAGTCATCATGGGAGGGGCTTTGGAAACTAGAGTTTCTTATCAAAAAGGAAATCAACAGAGTTCAATAGTGTCTTCAAAACTATAAAACTCATAGGACTGGAGGAAGTTTTAGGTAGAAGTAGTAAACAGGACTTTTGCTTGGGAGTATGTAAGTGGACTACATATTGAGAAAGACCCTTCACCAATACATATCAGGTCCTAGACAGATTAAAACAAACCTTTTTTTTTAAATGCAGCTATGAGATTACTAGAAAGTAAGAAAATTCTCCAAGACCCTTCTCCCTTTCAAAACAAATAAACAAAATAGACTTCATCAAAACAAAAAACTTTTTCTCCTCGAAAGACTCTTATGAAAAAGAAAAGGCAAGTTATAGGCTGGGAGAAAGCATTTGCAAAATATATATATCCAACAAAGGACTTTTATCTGTAACATTAAAGAAAACTTGTAAAACTTTTTTTATTTTTTTTCCTTTTTGTCTTTTTTTTTTACTGACCGGTAACGGGATTGCAACCCTCGGTGTTGCGCCCGCACCGCGCTCAACCAGTGAGCAGGAACCGGTCTCCACATGGGATCCGAACCCTCGGCGGGAGCGCCGCCGCGCTCCCAAGCAGCGCACTCTCCAGTGCGCCACCGGGCCGGCCCAAAACTTGTAAAACTTAATAACAAGAAGATGAATCACCTGATTTTAAAAATGGACAAAAGATTTGAACAGATACATCAACAAAGAGGTTATATGAATGTCAAAATTACATAAGATGTTTGACATCATTTGTCATTAGGCAAATGCAAATTAAAACCACAATAAAATGCACACACTAGAATGGTTAAAATTAAAAAGACTGATTATACCAAGTGCTGGTGAGGTGGTAGGGAAGCTGGAACTCTCATACACATGCACTTCTGGTGGAAACTTAAAGTGGTACAGCCAATTTGTAAAATAGTTTGGCAGTTTCTTAAAAAGTTAAACCAACACCTACCATATGACGGACACATTCCACTCCTAGGTAATTACCCAAGAGAAGTGAAAGCATATGACTATACAAAGTTTTACTTGTACTAGCCCCAAACTGGAAACAACCCAAATGCCATCAATGCATGAATGGATAAACTATTTGTGGTATCTTCACATAATGTATGCTACTCAGCAATAAACAGAAACAAACTATTGATGTGCAAAACAATATGGTTGGGATCTCAAAATAGTCACACCTGAATAAAAGATAGATACCTCCCCCCCCCAAAAAAAAAAGTACACACTGCATGATTCCATTTATATACAATTCTAGGAAATGCAAACTAATTTACAGTTACAGAAAAAAGATTAGTGAGTATTAGGAATGGGTGGAAAGAGGGAGGGACAAGAGAGAAGGACTACAAAGCGGCACAAGAAAGTTTTGGGGACTGATGATTATGTTCATTATCTTGATTGTCGTGATAATTTCATGGTATACACATGTTTAAAAATTATCAAATTCTATTTGAAATCACTTTCAATGTGTACTGTTGAAGGTATATTAATTATACCTTTATAAGGCAATTTTACTTTTATTTTATTTTTATTAAAGCATAATTGATCATACATATTTTGGGGGACACAGCATTGACTACCATCACCCAGAGGAATGGAAATCATCATGTTAAAGGGATACCTGTACTCCCGTGTTTGTTGCAGCACTATTTACAATAGCCAAGAGTTGAGCTCCCTTTTTAAGAAGTGGAGAGCAGCTCTCAAGCTGAGAGCCTTAGGGAGGCTACAGCATATAGCTAGAATAGAATAACATCGTTTCCTTTAACGATTTATTTTTATGGTTACCTTTTTTCATAGAAAACATAAACTGATTACCTACTTATATCCATGCACGACTTAAAATTTCCTTGTTAAAGTGACATTCCTTGTTACATTTTGTGAGTCAATTTAGAGAAAACAATGATAGTGATGTTTCATAGATAAGGTAAAAAACTGTGAAGGTGATGTTCAAATAACCAAATTTAGGGAAACAGTGCTCTCCAAAAAGGAAGGACTTTTGTTAAAAAGCCTTTCCACTTTCCCTGGGCAAGCCACAACCATTAGCAAATAGCCACACCCTGACATTTATTACTCACACAAAAATGACCATATTCTCAACTGTTCTACCTAGCATTTAAACTCCGAAATTGGCTCTAAAATACTATCCAACATAAAATCCACAGTAGATCAGAGGTAAGGAAATTTAGAGGTCATCTATTCCAGGGAGACCAACAGGGATAGATGGGTAACATAAATGCCAAAAGCAGGCTAGGTATTGGAGACACAATGGGGAACGGTGGGGACTGTGGAAAATTGGAAAGCTCTTGCTAGTCTAAAGATATCAGCTGCTACTCAGCTCCTGCTGAACTGTTCACATGGTAAAATTATGGTCCACTGTTGTCAGGTCTTTCACCACTTCAAGAGATGACAGAAATCTGAAACTATCTCCCAATTTTCACATAATCAGGACAAACCCCCCCCCCCCCCAAAAAACCACCACGATTCTACAAGTCAGAGTCAGCCTGTGACTCACCAGTGTGTAATCTCCAATCTAGTCCAACTTCCTTATTTGACTGATGAGGAAACTGAAGCCCAGAGAGGGAAAGAGATTCACCCAGTAGATTAGCTCCAGTCCAGAACTAAAACCCAAGTCTGGCTCTGACCACCAGGCCAGTTCTCTTTCCATTCCACCAGGCGTCCTCTAAAGTGGGGCATGGCACTCAGCATTTAATCTTGTTCTTCCAACCTTGCAAAGCAGTCAAACCAGGGGAGAAGTTTCCATGACAAAACTCCTATTAAGTTCCTTTTCCCCCACCCCAGGGAAGTAAACTTGACTTCTTTGCTCACTATTCCCCTCTTCATTCAAGAGTAGCACTATTAGGACCTCATTGACCCAAAACAAGCCACTCCCAAGAAGACCCAGAGACTTACTTGGATTGAAGGGGCCGGTCACTGGGATACATCCACCGGTTAGAGCTGTTGCTGAACACGGTATCAGTCATGGTGGAGGTCCTGTGCTCCTGGAAAATATCGATCCAGAGAGGACATCGCCCGGTCATTCAGCTTATTATTATTACTATTCTCTACTATTATTATTTTCTATTATTATTCCTATTATTATTCTATTATTATTTTTTATCATTCTTATTCTTATGATCCTTACTCTGTGCCAAGCACACCAAGGGATACAGAGAAGAAAGGAAACTTCCTCCAGACTTCCACTTTCCAGATGGGGAATCTTGGGCTCCAAGAGGGAAATGTCCCACTGGAAGTCACAGCCACCTACTGGCAAGAAATGGAGCAGAGAGGAGAGCTCCCTCCTTAAACCCAGGTTTTTCCCATTCACTGTTGACACAAGGCCACACATCCAGCTGGGCATGGCTCAGAGTTTTTAACTGAAATCCAAAGTCTTTCACCTGAGCAGGTCGTTTGACTCACCCTCGAGTCATCCCTGGACTTTTTTTTTTTTAATGCTCTACATCCAAGCCATCAGAAGATCCTACTGGTGTGATCTTCCAGACAGATTTAGAATCTGCCCCCCTGCTTCCAGCCAGCTTTGCTATTATGCTGATCCAAACTACCACTAGCCTTGCCCGACTGACTGCAGTAGCCTTCTCCTGGTCTCCCTGCATCTATGCTTGCTCCATTTCAGTCTATGCTCCACACAGCAGCCAGGGAGATCTTGAAAAACATGTATCACAGCTTGTAAAAATAGCACCACCATGGTTAAACATCAAGTTACCCTATGACCCACCAATTCCACTTCTACATATCTACCCAAGAAAAATGAAAACATTTGTGCACACAGAAGCTCATATGCAAATGTTCACAGCAGCATTATTCATAATAGTCACAAAGTGGAAACAACCCAATGTTCACCAACTGATGAATGGATAAACAATATGTGGTCATTAAAAGGAATGAAGTATCAATACATGCTACAACATGGATGAACCTTGAAAACACTGAGCTAAGTGAAAAATGCCAGTCACTAAAGGCCACATATTGCATGGTTCCATTTATATGAAATGTCCAGAACAGGTAAATCTACAAGAGACAAAAAGCAGGTTAATGGTTGCCTAGAGCTAGAAGAGACTAAAGGGTACAAGGTTTCTTCTGGGGGGTAATGAAAATGTTCTAAAATGATTGTGTGATGAATGTACAACTCTGTGAATATACTAAAAGCCACTGAATTGTCCACTTTGAATGGGTGAATAGGATATGTGGATTGTATTGCAATAAAGCTGAAAAAATGGTACCGCCATTTTGGAAAACTGTTTGGCAGTGTCTGTTAAAGCTAAACATTCATCTACCCTATGGCCCAGGAATTCTACTCAGGTATATACCCAAGAAAAAAACTGCTTATATTCCACGACTTGTATAGAATGTACATAGCAGCTTTATTCATAAGAGCTAAAAACTGGAAATTATCCAAATGCACATCAACAGAAGAGTGGATTCGGTCTCTTTGTACAGTGGAATACAGTGAGCAATCAAAGCTCATCATAAACTTAACAGCATGGATGAACCTCACAGACATTATGCTTAGTGAAAGAAGCCAGAACAAAGGAAAAGAAACAAGTTGACAGTATTTACATGAACACTAAGAACAGCCGAAGCTATCTGACACTGACAGAAATCAAAGCAAACCAATCACTGACTTTGGGGAGGGTATTGATAGGGAAGGGCCTCCGTGGGGTGAAAATGTTCTGTATCTTGATCTGGGTCGTTACTAATCAGTTATATACATCTGCAAAAGTGATCAGGCTAAACATTTAAGATGTATGGACTTTATGTCCTTCCCTTCACCCAAAAAAAGTAAGTCAGCTCATGTCACTCTCTTGCTCAAAGATCTTCAATGGCTCCCTATCACTCCTAGAATAAAATCTAAACCTGTTAGCACAGCCTGGTTCCCTGTGGCCTCCGTCTCTTTTTCTCCCACTCTTCTCATGCTCTCTTCCTTAGCCCCACGGGCCTTCCTGCTGCTTCCTCAAAAACACCAAACACACTCGCACTTGCTCCTTCCTCTGCCTGGAACTTCCTGCATATGCTCAGCTCATTCTCCATTTGTTTAGTTCTGTTCTCATATGTCACTTCTTCAAAGAGCCCTCCCTGATCACTCAATTTCAAACAGCTCCTCCCCGACTCTGGTTCCCTTTACTCTGATTTATTTTTCTTCATAGCTCTTATCACTACCCAAATGTATAGTTTGCTTATTTTTATATTTGGTTGTTTGCTTAGAGTTTGAATTCCCCTGCCAAAATGTAAGCTCCTTGCAGAACTTTTTCTGTTTTGGAAAGAAACACTGCTTAATTTCCAACACCCAGTTTAGAGTCTGGCACAGAGAAGTTGCTCCATTAACATCTGCTGAATGCGTGTGTGTGTCTCCATCAACTAAGTCAGTCCAGCTGAACTCAGCCTGCCTATGTTCTCTCTGAACCTGGCCCCACCCCACCTACAAAGGTCTTGCCAAAGAGTAAGGGTAAAGAGACCGTGGAGGTGGAAATTACACTAGTTATTTTTAAAACTAATAGAAACTGCCTCAGTGTGTCCAGAGGGTGCTGATTTCCCTGCAAGTCTACTTTCAACATAGTCTTGTTTTCTGTGATGCTGAATAGATGAGAAGTTGGGAGGCGGACACAGAGCAAACTCCCTTTCCTATCCGGCAGCCTTTGGAATGATTAAATCTTTTTGTGGGGGAAGCCAGAGGCGGGGCCGCATGTTGGACTCCTGGGGAAGAAGGCCCCTTACAGAAAAGCCATTTCATCTGCCCCCATGTGGTTAACATAATCTTTCTGGATTAATATGGAAACATTTCATTGTTTCCACTTTGAAAACAGAAAGAAAGGAGAGATGGCTCCTGTTGTGAAGGAAATGTGCTGAAAAAAAACTTAACGTCTCATTATTGCCTGTGCCAAGGGCAGCGCAGTCTTCCTTGGGGCCCCTGGCCCCTGCTGGGTGCAAGGAGCCTCAGTCCCTGGGAATGAGTTTCCTGGGCTGCCCTACGTTTGGACAGCCAACTCAGCAAATGAGATCAAATGCCTCACCTCCTGCTTTGCAGCAGAGAGGAAATGCTGCTCTTGGAGGACCCTGGGATGCAGAGAGCTGGGGCAAGGGAGACACACGATGGATTTCCAGGAACTCTGATTTCCAAATCCTGTTGTCTTTGGGGCAGAACCAGGCCTGCCCACCCTCTCCTGCACACACACACCAGGAGTACGTTTCCCACGAAAATTCCACCTGCAAAGTTCATACTCACCAGCTGACTGCCAGTGGAAACCACCCAGCTCCATCCCTCCAGGCCAGAATCCTCCCTAGACATCCCTGATTATTTCAGCTTAGCAACTCAGGGTTCTCAATGCACTGAATATCCCAGGATTAGACTCCTTGTCCAGTGCTCATGCCAGTCCACAGGCCTGGACCAGGAAAGGGAAATATCTGAGCAGTCAAGGCTCTTTGAACAACTGGAGAAACACGCCCAGAGAAAAGAGGTCCTGTGTCCACAGGCAAATCTGGCAAGGGGTGGGGATGCAGGTGCGGGAGGGGACATAATAGACACTGGTGATGCCCCACCTGGATCCCTCTCACAGCTGCTGCACCGTCCCCCAGCCTCTAGGGGTGTCAGCAACTAAGGGCTCATAGCGGCACCATTTTCCAGAGAACTGCCCTCAGCCAGAAGAAGCTGCTTTGCCCAGAGACACCAGGGAGCAGCCCAAAGCCAATGGCTAACTGATAAGGGGAGAGTATAAAAGCACAGCCCCCTTGTTTCAGGGGGGACAGCTCTGTGGTGCCATCATCTCCAGAGCTCCCTGTAGATCAGGCAGAGGCCAGACTTTGGCTGAAGCTACATCCTTGCCTACCGTCCTCCATTGCCCTGTCCCGCTTCCCACAGAAAGTGTGGTTCTGATCTACAAGTTCACTACATCACCCTGGACAGTCACTTGGCCATTTTTTTCTTTTTCTTTCTTTTTTTGGTGCAAGGATTGGAAGCTTTATTCAGATAAGCAGCATCTGGGAGATGATCAAACTAAATCCATCTCACCTTCTGATACCTGGTCTGGGGTTTATAAAGGAAAAGAAGAAGGATTATGAAGAAAGGGGATTCCAAGGGACTTAGTCAGGGGTTAGCAGGTGCTCTGAGTCAGATGTCAGTGTCCCATGATGGACAGGGTTCTTGGCATAATGAAGCCTGTGGCTGATGGACTGATGAGTTTAGTGTCCCTGATGTTATCTCAAGGCCAGAGTCATTATTTCCTGGGGGAAAACTCAAAGACAATAATCTCAGCCAAGCATCAATGGAACATTAAAATACCTGACTCAGACCTTTGACTAATGTGCATGCCTAATGCAGTCTTCTTTAAGCAACAGTATAGGTTAATAATCAGCTTGGCCTTTCTTTGGAATGCCTTTGTCCACAAAGTTGATTAGAAAAGCAGGAGAGACAAGAGGGATTCAGTTTTAATCTTAACCCTTAAGCATATAGAATCTAAGTGATGAGCATAAGGTGGAAAAAGAAAACTTCTAAGACAGGGTTTCTCTCGGGTGATGGTTTCATATCACAGCAGTTTTGGCCTTGTGATCAGTCTTGTAATTTGGCTGCTGACCTCAAGAAGTTGATGATTATTGGCTTCTCAGAAAGTCCCTGGAGTGTCTGTAGGTCACAGGGTGACAGAGGCCATGATAGAGCCACCTGGAGCAGAGGACACGGAGCTGTGGGGATGGAGCCACTTAGCCATTTTATAATTTAACAGAATATGATCCTAAGACGTTCTCCTCCCTGCCTGCAGATGATACCCCATGGTCCAGCCAAGATCTCAGATTTGAGGGTGAGTTAACAGAAATGGAGAAGGTCCAGTGGTGAGCCTCTGACATTTTCAGACCACCCCCCCCCTTTCCCATTGCCCACTACAGAGAAACCATCACCACAGCAGATGGAGGCCCGAGGCTCAGGAAGGACCAGCAGAAGGAAGCCAACCATTGAAGCCAGAAGCAAAAATACAGATGCATGTATTG